ACAGCCAATTTTGAAAGAGATGCATTTAGCTCTGGAAATTGTTATTGAGTATGTCAATGCTGTTGTAATGAAATGCTTCTTCTACTTATGTAGTAATTAAATAATTTTTTTAAAAATTAAAAAAAAAAGAAACGCCTGAGGAGCCAGGGGCTCCCCCCAAAGCCCGTGTGATACCTGAGGAGCAGATCCTCAAATGACCTTAAAAGTAAAAATGAATTGGTTTATTTGGGCCAACTGTGTGGTCTTAAATACTCAAAAGGAAAGTATAACCAAAGATTAAAGTTACCAGTATATTTTGTTAAGAGTTCAAGGGATTACACATCCCAGACATTAAACTTAAGTTCTTATGTTATTTAGACAATTGTCTCTCATTGATGAATTTGTTCCTAATAGGACAGTGCTACTCAGCTGTAAGACTTCAATTCTTGGTCTACAAAACCTAGAGCTGAGGGAGACAACCCACTATTGTTCTAAAATGATGGCTAAATTTGTTTTTTCTCCCTATCTAGAGGCCATTTATGAGAGAGCTGATTCTAGCTACTCCAACAGTTATCAAAGTGCCTGACAACAAATCCTGAGTTCATCAGTCATCAGCCCATCCTTAGCAGGCAAAAGAAAAATGAGGAAGAACCCAGTAGATCGATGCTTTTGGAAGCCCTCATCAAGAAATTCCAATGGACTTTAATTTGGACATTTTCTGGTTCCCTGCCTAGAAATTGTAATACTAACTACTCTTGCCTTCACTTTTCCTTGACATCTCCTAGACAGCAGACAAGGACCTTCTTTTCTCCCTATAGTTAAGAGTTATGCAATATAGCAGTCTTTTAGATAGACCCACTGATGGGGGTACCCCAATTGTCTCACCCTGTGTCCCTGTTTATCATGGAAGAAGCCAGAGTGGTCTGCATCCCAATTCCCTATTGACAATTTGGGTAAACCTCTTCAGAGGGTGGTATGATAAGAATAGGAGATAGAAATTGGCTAGGCAGCTAGGGTAAAAAGACCCCAAAGAAAAGTAGCCAGTTTCTTTCTTGGCTAAAAGTCAAAATGTCCTTGGGCCTTTTAGCAAAGTACTCTGTCTCAAAGGCCAAAAACGTTAAAAGTATTTGGGAGCTCTTATCCCAAAAAGATTTTAGGGCTACCTCTTCAGAGGGGGGAATGTTACAATATCAATAGCCCTGATTATCCTGTGCTATTCTGATGCTTGCTCCCTGTTTCATACAATTTCTTCGTTGACAAATTACCACCATTGCTAAAATTACTACTAATCAAGTCATGGTCCATTATCAGACCTTGGATTCTCCCAATATAGATAAATTGGCTCTTAAAACTTGTGATGACACCTCTCCATTATAAAACAAAACAGGGGGAGATGTTGGGGGAACCCTGCCATGAAGGTCGCAGTCTACCATGTCTGGAGTGGAGGACTTCCTTTCTCAGCAGGGGCTTCCTACTCTCTGCCTGACCTTATTTGGAAAGTGTCTCCAAGCACAGATGCCTGACGGTATTTGGAAAATGACCTTTGGAATAGTTACCTACAGGAGCTGCCCCTAGGTTTTTTCCTGCATGATAATCAGGCATTGCACTACAGCTACCCCATCTCCCCTTCCCTTTCTACATGATAGGATCTCTCTACCACAGGCAAATAAAGCATACTTATCAGGTAAAGCTTTGGCTGCCATCTTCATCCTATATTTTTCCCTGACCCCTGCTGAATAAACGAGCTGTCTCACTGAGAAAAAAAAAAAAACTAAAAAAAAAAAAAAAAAAGAAAGAAAGAAACAACTTCAAGACAATCCAGGGCATCTCAACGAATATACACAGATATAGACCAACTGCCTGTGTTGTCTTGGTCTTGAGCCTCGTCACCACACTGCTGGGCTACTCAGCAGCACTGGATGATGTGGAGCACTCTCTGATCTTAAACTCTTCTCCTTCAGCTTCCAGATCATTGTTCAATCTTCTGCTCTTCAGCCAGTCCCATTACCTTTCTTACTACTTCTTTCTCCTTACTATACTTAACTATACTTAAATACAGGTTTTATTGTTCTGACTTTGGCCTTCTCTATTGCTTTTCTTCTCTATCTTCTATTTCTAGGTATCATACCAGTTGTAACATACTCCTATATGGAATATAAATTCAGAGAGCGGGGAGAGAGAGAGAGAGAGAGAGAGAGAGAGAGAGAGAGAGAGAGCTCATCATGTAAGAAGTGTTAACAAACTACTTTTTAAACATTATGGATTTTTCTTCCAATGCATATTAGATAGGGAATTAAGAAGTTTAGGCATAAATCATTTTGTTGTTGTTTTCTGAGACAGAGTCTCACCATTTCTGACTGGCCTGGAACTTGCTATGTATACCAGACTAGCCTCAAACTCAGAGATCTGTCTGCCTGTGCCTCTCGTGTACTGGGATTAAAGTGTGTGCCACTACCACACCTGACCTAGGAACATATCTTAAAGAATACTTTTTTCCCTCTTTCCTTTGGTCCAGTGTTTAATATAGAAACAATTTATATAACTAAGTTATCATATATCTTTTTAAACTTTTTATAATTAAAAATTTGTGCTGCCAGATATGGTGGTGCATGCTTCTAGTCCTAGATTTGCAGGAGGCTAAGGTGGGACGATCACTTGAGTTCATTAGTTGAAGGCCAGTCTGGCCAACCTAGCAAAAGACTTCATCTAAAAACCAAAAATAATAGCAAACAAAAAATTAACAGGGCTAAGAACATAGATCAGTGTTAAAGTGCTTGCCTAGTAAATGTGAGTTCTAGCCACAAGGTCTGGCATCTTGTAAGAGTGAAACCACTGAGGACAAGTCAGCCTTCGGGTTGCAACAGCAAGAGGTTTATTTATACACAGGTACCTGTGGGCACAGAGTCTCCTCGGAGGACTTGCGCGCCTCAGGTCAGGTTTGTGGAACTTTTATAGAGCAGAAGCGAGATACAGAAGCAGAAACGTGGTTATTGGTTAGTTTAAACTATTACAAAATGCTACAGGGAGAGCGGGGAGCTTACTTATCACTAAGCCAGATGTCTCAACCATAAAACTTATTTATCAGTGAGTTGGAGATGTCTCGGCCATGAAACTTACTTATCAGTAAACCAGATGTCTCGGCCATAAAACTTACTTATCGGCAAGCCAGATGTCTCGGCCATAAAACTTACTTATCGGCAAGCCAGATGTCTCGGCCATAAAACTTACTTATCGGCAAGCCAGATGTCTCGGCCATAAAACTTACTTATCGGCAAGCCAGATGTCTCGGCCATAAAACTTACTTATCGGCAAGCCAGATGTCTCGGCCATAAAACTTACTTATCGGCAAGCCAGATGTCTCGGCCATAAAACTTACTTATCGGCAAGCCAGATGTCTCGGCCATAAAACTT